AATAACTGGATTTGCGTCAGGAGAAACATGTATAGGTGTAATTTTGCCCTACCTGACGTGGAAATGTACCGAATACTCAGTACATTTGAAAACAACTGCGAAAAAAATTGCAAGTTGTTCTCGGAGTAGTAATACAGAAGCAGTTGTTAAATGTAATAGGAGGCTTTATTTTTTTAGGAGAATGAGAAGTTTTAATGTGGATACTAAAACTATGAAATTATTGTACGATCCTGTTATTAAATCTGTTTTACTTTCTGTTGTAATAATACTATTGTCTGGTTCAATGGAATCACCAACAAGAACAAAAATAGACTAGATTGTGTAAATAGAAAAGCGAATAAGATTATGGGTGTCAATTCTGGTAGATTACATCATCCATTAGTCAAAACTAATAGGTTAAAATACTCTATTATTCCATCAGCAATTAACCTTTTTAATAAAAAAAATTCTACTTGCCTTAATTTTCATATATATATTTTTTTCAATCAATAATTAAATTTTGCCATCTTTTCCTAATTGCTTTTCAATACCATAATTCAATTTCATTTCTTACGGCTGCTGATGACATCAATTTTAATAATAAATTAATTATAAATTCACTTTTTAAGCTTTTTTTAACTGACACAAAGTGTAATAAATAATAAATTAATAATGAAATATAACATTGTTATCATTAATACTATTACTATTATTACTTACACCATATGAATAATGCAGTGATATATTATTACTATAACTGCACTATATAACATTACTTTATAATTCCTATTTACCTGTGGAAAGTGATCCATTTGACTTCTTCACTGAGGACAATACCGGACGTCATTAAGAGCTCAGCAAAATATTCTGCATCGATTCCATCTTCTTCATGCTTTTTAAACTGAATTCCAGACGATGTGAGTAGTTGTATTGAATCCTGAGCATACATGTCTTCACTGGAAATTTTTGGGCAAGAAAATTCAAGAACATTTAAACAATTTGGTGATAATATGCCGATAAAGATAATCAATCACGGGCATACACTGACTAAATGCAATTGAAATGCGAGTTGAGTGGCTGCGCCGCTAACTACAGCCTTAGCATCGGTGTTTCTTTAAACAACTCCTCGCCCAGTGTTTGGTTGGAATTTACAGTAGAACTAAGTCTACTAGTGGATAAAGAGAAAGATAAGGTAAGAGGAACCGGAATTAAATCAGAAAAATGAGTGGGGGAATAGAAAGTTAACAAAAGTGAGATGGATGTCGGAGCTTTAGCTCTATTTGTTTATTTAATTCCTTTTCATTATTTTACTCATAATATTCAATTGCGTTATTATTGTTTTCAACGTCATATACAAGCTGCTGAGTGAGTAATACTTTTGATCGTAACTGGTCATGCGTAAAATCAGCAGGTAGACGACATAGGCCTGAAAACACACTCCCTTGTTACGATGCAAAGCCAGAGAGGTGAACAGGGCTACGGGGAATGGAACCGAAATACCCTGACTGAGTAGTGCAGTGGGTGAGTAATAAAATTTGTTCATTTACTTATTATTATTACTGTACCATTACTACTATGACTAACACTAAATCAATAACAATAAGAGGATCGGAATGGCTAAGAATAAACAATGTAAAACTAAGTCTACAAGGATAAGGACATAAAAATGGAGGTCCACCGTACACATCCGCCACCTGTGCGGTAAAAATAACCCATTGTATCTTTTGGAGGAGTAGATGGTTACCCTGAAGCTATGGTTAATTTCAACCCCTGTGGTGAAACCATGTAAACCTCTTTACGGCGTGGCTACATAGTTAGGATCACACCTATACGCAATTCTGTACAATGACAACTGCGATCTATTCTTCTACCATAATACCAATTAACTTACCCTGCCTACTTTTCTAGAGAAAATTTTATCAGTAGAAGGTTATATAACACACCATGATATCATTCCACATCATTTTTGCTGTTATGCAGTACAGTATGAAAGGTTTGTCCCTATTTGCCATGACAAGTTTCAAAGAGCGCCAACACATACTACAGAAACATTCGCTAATTTGCACAAAACAGAAAATCTATTTTTAGATTATTTCATATCTTTTGACTTGCTGCTCATGGGTGCTTGGTCATTTGTACTATTTTTTTCTCATGTTCCAGGTTGTCTAGCATTATAAGTATTCTATTGCTACAGTCCAATAATAAAAATATGAAAAAAGGGGGCTTCGATCTGAACATTAAATAGCTCTATATAAATGTACGTATATGCACATATGTATTTGTGGTTTTGCAGTGCCATAATATAAAATACAAAAGAAGAGCACATAGCTACGAGTACCCTTGGATTATCTTAAGCTCTGTCTAAACTGTTAAAATTTCTCAGACAAAAAAATGCTAAATGCACATATATAGACACGCTATGCCTATATATGGTCATGATATATCATCATGACCATATTAGGCATAAAATTTGATAATCTGTACAAGGCTTTACATACATGTCTAATGAATATTCATGTTCATGGTAGCAAATGCATTCATACACTTTAGAAGGAAATAAAATTAAGCTATACTTCCCCCAGAGCACCAGAAATAATGTATTTAAAAATATACTTACATCAGGTTAA